CTGGAGACACATCTGCTAAAGCCATACCTACTCCTTACCGAAATCAGCGGATTCGACCCCTAAAGAGTGCACCAGCCTGTAGAAGAGAAGGCAATATCCTCATCTCTTCTTGGAGGCCACACTCTTTTCATTTCCCCCAGGAACATGTTGTTTGTGGGAGAACCTGGAGCTACTCCCCTGAAAACAGCTCCCTGGGGCCTCTGAAGCCAAGGCCGAGGGAAGTGCTACCAGAAGGCAGAGCAGCTGTGGCTTCAAAGTGGGAGGATGAGCCCCTTGTACTCAACTCACAACCTGCTGCCTGCCTGGAATTTCTCTAGCGAGAGATCAAACCCCTCAGGCCACAGTTGGAGGAAAAGATGAGAACACCAGGCTCCTCTCCTAACCGAGAGCGCAGAGAGGACGGACCCCATCTGGTTGGAGCATCCCGGTGTCCTGTGCCCGAAACAGAGCCCCGCACAGGTGCTCCTCGGGTGTCGAAGAATGTGTGCAGGCACCGAGGACTGAGTCTGGTGGCACCTGGAAGTCCGGGCTCAGAGGGAAGAAGCAGGTGCTTGGGGGGCTGCATGGAGCCTGCAGATGCCGCTGTGCCCACACAAACCCGCAGTCGGGATGGCCAATGGAGCACCTGTCACTGAGCTCTCCATCCCCCGACTCGGTTCAGCCCCACACCACACAGTGTTCGTCTTCTGCTCCACGGACAGCCGCCTGCTCGCACCCTCTGGAGCCTCGCTCCGATCTGGGCACTCAGCTCTGCAACAAGTGCCGTGGAGTGAAAGCGAGAACATGTCAGCCTTGAGGAGCTGGGAATGCTCAAACAGGCAGACGGGAAGCACCTCAGCGGTGACTTTCTGGATGGGGGGGGGGGTAAGCCAAGCGCCTCACACACACCTGTGCACCGTCAGGGGGCGGCTCCTCTTCTGGATGAGGGGGTGGCGCCCCTCCCCACACCTGTTTGCACTCAGCGTCCTCCCCAGCGCAATCTCAGTCAGTGTCATGGCCCTCAGCCTCATCACCAAAATCTCCCCCATGTCCCCCTTTCCATCTCGCTCTCTGTCTCTTTCCCCAGTCTCTCCCTGTGTTTCTCTCTCTCTATCTCTCTCTCTGCCCCAGTCTCTCTCTCTCGGTCCCCCCCACCACACCCCCATCGTCCCTTCTCCCTCCCTCTCTCCTTGTCTCTCTCTCTGTCTCTCTCCCTCTGTTTCTTTAACTCTCTATATCTGTATCTTTCTGTGTGTGTCTCTGTATCTCTCATTCCCCCTCCAGGTCCCTCCCCTCTCCCCATCCCTGTCTCTCTCCTCAGTCCCTCCCTCCTATTTGACTTTCCAAGTGTGTCCCCTGTCTGGTCCTTCCCCCACCCCTGGAGATGGGCCTTCACAATGCCTCGTCCAGTTTGCCTCTGCACCCTCCAGACTGGTCTTTTGGCCACAGCTCAGAGCCCTCCACCCTCATATACAGAAACCTCTCCAAAGTTTTCCCCCCGAAACACAAACCTAACAGCATCTTCCCCCTGCTGCGAACTCGCCCATGGGGGCCCCCACCGGCTCTGGGGCTGCCTCTCCAAGCCCAGCTCCCACGCCCCCACCCCCGGTTACAGGGTGCTGACACTGAGCGCTCACAACCACCAGGGTCCCGTGAAGCTCTTTCCATTAAACTCCCCCACTGAAGCCCCAGCACATCAGGCAGCAGCAGGGCTCTGCCATCTCCGTCTCGGGAGGGAGGGAGCCAAGATCTGGAGGTCTCCATCACGTGTAGCTGCGAAGCAGCAGAGCAGGAGTCTCGGCCGGATGAGCCCGTCCCAGTGGCACTGCCCTCCCCACCTGTACCCAGCAATCAGTGTCACTTAGAAGGTTTAAGTCCCTCCCGGCCCACCCCAGAGCCAAGGGGAAGGGGTTTCTCAAGGCTTCCCCATAACTGAAGCAAGCACCCACTCGGGAGCTTTCTTGTGAATCACCGTCCTTCTTACAAGACTGGATACCCTGAAGCTAAAGATCATTTCGTGTCCCCAGTTCTAAGCAAGACCTATTGCTCACGGAGGCTTAACTGAATCAAGTAACAGTCCGATCAATGACTGAGTGGCTTAATGAATATCATGCTTTCACGTGGTCACATCTCTCTGTCTCTTCCGTAACAAAACTCAGTTTATTTGCCTGGCCATGTCAGAAGTTTCGGAAGTGAGTGTACTGCTTATGGAATATTATCAGAAAGAGTCTACATTCCCATCATTTAAGGATAGGATCACCGTTACAATAGAAGAGTGTGTTTTTATCATTGTTGGCCAGTGTTGTTTCCTGTGGGATGTCACCATGCTCGAATTTTAAGCAGATGGGTATGGGCTCCATTCATAATTTCCCTGATTTAGGAAAACTCGTTTTCGCAGGCGGGGACACTACACCTGCTGCCTGCCAGAGCCCAACAGCAGCTTTGGTCTTGGCACAGGTGGATGTGATTTCACTTCACCGGTGATGTCTCCACAAGCTGCCTGTGCAGTTGGTCCTGGTGACAACGGGGCAGAGGATGAAGCCGGGGCTCACCCTTCTTCGGGCGGGGGGACACTGAGATTCCTGGGCATCGTACCAACTCAGCCATATGTCACCACAGAAAGTAACTGCTTTTTCCATATATGATCATAACTAATGTTGCAAAGCCTGTTTTGCCTGGATCCTTTTACAGGACCTATGCAAAATATGCTGTGAGCTTTCACTCCAGATTTCTTCCTTAGGATGAATGGCTCTGCACACACACGGGAACAAGCTCTTATTCTGTTCATCAGGAGTGATAATTATTCCATAGGCTAATTCCCCGAGTGTTAGTTACCTGGGGTGAGGTTCTGGCTCATGAACAGCAGCTGATGGAAACGGGGATCCTAATGGCCAAATACATCCTAATGTTCTCCTTTTAATTCTTTCCTTTTTTTCCCTGTCTTTACCTTTTAGAAAATGTTAATGTATTCCTGATGAATTCAGTGTGAAAAAAAATATGTTTATCAGCTTGGGTTTAAAATTTTTATTCATAATAAGAATATAGTAGCACCGCCAACACTTTCCAAAGTCAATCCTGGAAACTCTGGCAGCTTCTCAGGGCATCCTAAGCGAGATGACCGCACAGAAGAGTTACAAGGCAGGAATTCGGATGCCAACACGAGACGCCAGGGTCTCTGGATCAGGTATGGGCGCTTTGTTCTTGCCAGGCGTGGTGTCGAGGAAAGCGTGCTCTGGTGGCAGATAACCCTGCAAGATGTCATTCGGTAACTGCGGAAGTTGTGCCTTTAGCCAGGGCCAAACAGATGATAAGGTTGTCGCTGTTAACAGGTGCTAGCTATTTGCAGCAAACCCTACTTCCGCTTGCGAAATGCAGCCACTGAATTTCCCGATCACACTTCCCCGCGACTATCAGTGGCAGTGAGGGAGGGCGAGCTCCGAGGCCCTGCCCCGCTCAGCCTCCGATCCTCGGTGCCTGAATATCCACCAGGCCCCCGGTGTCCTCCGACGGCCGAGCCCTAGCCACCCGCGAGCGGATGCGGCCCCCCGCCCCCAGCCCCGCTGGCACGGTGTCGGACACGGAGCCCACCTCCGCAGCTGAACTGCTCTCCCCTACGTGACTGCACGCAGAAGCCGGCGGCTTCCACGGCTGCATCCAGAGCCACAGCTGGGTTCTTTAGTTTGTTGTGAAAAGAATTCCAGCATGACACAGCTCCTGTCAGTACAAAGAAGTGCTGGAGCATTGGGGGGGGTGGGGGGGGGAGGCAGAATGCCCCTGAAAACAGCCGGGCCCCGGTCTGCTCCTCTCCACGGTAAACAGACCGTGCGGGCACTACCGGGCCGGGACGCAGGTCCTGGCCACAGGGGCGCCTCCAACGCCTCCTGGGCGTCTGGAGCAAACAGTGCCACTCGCTCTGTGGTCAGGTCGGGGACAGCCAGTCCTCCCGTTGTTTGATTTCTAAACTTGCCTCCACCTCCCCGAGGCCGCTGAGAGCTCAGGGCTTGCAAATCAACACAACATTTAATTAACTGCACATTAAAGTTTCCATCTTTCAAGGAAGGGAATTAAGGACAGTACACTTTCTGAAGCATTCATTAATGAAAATATAAATTCTAAAGCCTCCCGAGTTCCGGGTGGTCCCCCCGACTAGACGTGGTTGCCTGCCGGGACTCTCTGTGTTGGGCCAGTTCCTTCCCATAAGCTGCAGGGTCCAGGGTCCCCTTCCAGGCAAACACTGTTAACCCTCCGAGCTCCAGTCTTGGTTTTGCCACACCCCAGAGCCCTCTGAATTATCCTCAAGAGTTTTCAGGAAATACTCAAAAATGTTGCTATTGATACTGAGTTGTGAGCGCTTTCTTATTAAAATGAAAGGTGTGGAGAAAGCACTGTTAAGAGAGGCAAGAGACATGAATAATAATAATTAAATACTGTCTGCCATCCACGGAATGGATGGAAGCTACTGTCATTCCCTGAGAACGACAGAGGCACATGGACCACCAGAGAGGAGGAAAATAGCACAGCCTGCTTGACTTTAGGGAGATGGGGAGACAGACCAGAAGATATCTAGGGCAACTCCCGCCAAACAGGCTGGATCTCCATGACACCAAAATTACCTGACAGTTCAGGCTAAGACCACGCACACATACCCCCCCCCCCACACACACACACAGACCAGAGGTCACAAACCACAGTGAGTGAGAAGTGCATTGTTCAGGAGTCGGGGATGCTGGCCCCGTTTCTACCATGAACACAGTCCCACAAGCCCACTCTGCTTCTCTGCTTACCCTTCTCCTCAGCTGAAGAACAACGCAACTCACACCATGGCCAAGATCACCAGCAGTGCTTTCTATTAGAATGCATCGCCGTGTCTGTCTAAAAAGGGATTGTCTTGCAATGCCCAGTTTTGTTATTTCTCAGTATCTATGTCTCCTCCCAATATTAAGAAGTCTGAGAAAAAAAGCAGTGGATCTTACTTAATTTTCTACTACACATTCTGCATATTTATTTAGTTTATGCTCGTCTGTCATTTCTACGGCACGCCAGGGACCGTGCTAGCATCAGGATATAGATGCTGGCCTTGCCCTTCTGGAGGAGGCAAACAAATGACTAAACAGGTAAACGAACTAATTATAAATTATAATTAGCGTCAGGCAGGGAAAATCACCAGGGCCTAAGATAGCAAATGATGGAGAAGAGCAACTTCAAAGTGGGCGTGTGAGGACGGCTTCTGTGGAGGGGACGTTCAAGGTGAGTCGCAGAAGGAAGGCAAGGAGCTAGCTCTGCAACCAGTGGTCCTTGCACACGGCAGACACACAACTGGTGCTTCTTGATTTGCTGAGCAGTGTTTATAAAGGAGATCTCATAAATTCAAATTAGTAAGAAAACCTAATCAAAATATACTTCCGGATAGACAAAAGCAACCGGGAAGTGAGTTCTTCACTCTCCAGGACGAGGTAGAGCGTGGTGTGGACCAGGGGCTCCTTTTCCCTCATGGACTCACCGAAGCCGGCGAAACACTCTCCGGGCTCCACACTTGCTTACCCTCTGCCTCATCCTCTGGTTCTTACTTCAGATCTCTGCTCAGCGCTGGTACAGTGACCCATACACCAGAGGATGCTAGGTTCTCATCCACCATTCCTTTCAACTCGTCATTTCTCTCTGGTCTTTGGATTTCCTCACCAGTGTGGTATCACGCAGAAGACGGCATCTCAATTCCTTACATTTTGTTCCCTGAAGTCTCCTGTGCCATCACCCCCTATCACGAGAAGGCGAGGGAGGCGGACGCGGTCATCAGACCCCGCAGCGGGTCACTCAAGTGTGTCCCATCTTGTGATGGAGGAGTGAACTGGACTCTTGCAGACTGCTCGGCCACTTGGCTCTCCCGCGCCCATCACCAAGCCCCCACTCTTCTCTCCTTGCTTCATGGCTGTGGGGCTGGGACACATTCTCCTGCTCCCTTTAGTCTCTGTCCAAAGGTGAACTTAGGTGGAGACTCGGAGATAAGAAATATCTTGTGAGGTAGATTTTCCTGACCAGACTCTGACAGACACACTCACCCCGGGGGTAAGTGCTTCTCCTATTACTTAACCAATAATTACTGTCCATGTACCCAGGGACCTGTAATGTGCACCCAGAGGTGGAGGAGGGGAGGCAAAAACATCTGTATCTCTGCTACCTGATGTGCACAAGCAACATCAGGAGGCAAGATGCGCCTAGCCACCCCTTGAAATTGTCTGATGCCATTGCCTGCCTTCCTCCCCTCTTTCCTCCTTTCTGCCCTCCACCATTTGCGGGGGGAGCAGCCCTGTTTTGCCCCATTTGGGCCGCACCTATGATGACAAACCCAGTCCTGACTCTCAAAATCCCAGTTGAGTGGGGGATCCCTGAACAGATGGTGCTGCCACAGGGACAGAGGGGTCACTACTCTGAAATAGAGCTGGGCCGTGGTATAGAGGGAACACACTCCATGGCCCCATTACTAACCCAATGGAGGGGGCAGATGGGAGGCTTCTTAGAAGAGCAAAACCCAGAGTCAACTTTTAAATAAGACTGGTGCTTGGGAAACAAAGGAAAGCTCAGGAGATGCTACATCAAGAAGCACATACTGAGGGTATAGTCCTTTTTGCAAGTCTGTGGATCAGTGAAATGGATTCTGATGAGTGAGCCAAGACCAAGGAAGGCCCTCACCTCCACCCTGAGAGTCTAATCAACAGGTCTGTGTTATGGATCCAGAATCCACTTGTTTGTCTCACTTCTCTAATAGGGTATGTAGGAGGCATCTGATTATTTCAATCTTGTAACAGTTCTTCAAGGATCAGGGAACTACTCCACCCCATTAAAACCATTAGCAGGGATCAGCCACTCCAATGAGTATGGCACCTCTAGGTCATTCAGACCCAGGAACGGAACCCCAATGGTCGGCCAAATGCATTCTGCTACGAAATTTTGATGGACGATGCTTCCTTAGCCTGGGCCAACATTTAATTTGTGTTGCGATGGAACACTTTCAATTGTCAACGACAAAAGGCAATATTTCCAATATTCCTTGAGAACAGGCTTCAAAGGTTTCAGCTCTTCTTTAAAAAGCTCTTCAGCTTTATTTTGACGTGGCAGAAAAGTTTTGCAAGCATCCTCGCATCCACTGTTGTGACAGCTGCATTTAATGAGTGCAAAATGATCAGAAAAACATCCTTTGCTGTGGGTTGCCAGTTGGTGACAGGGGAGAGGTGATGCTGTAATCAGAGCAGGGAAGTCATGCACACATCTGCCGAGGCAAAATTTCTGCCTGTCTGGTCTACACCACACGGCTCAGGGCCTGGCCTCGAAGCCAGATAAGACTTGTGGACCGACATCCAACGGACCCCTTCTCCAAACGGCAGGGTAAGACTCCATTGGGCTACATCAGGCCATTGTTGCTGGAGTTTCATTCAGGTGTCTTTCTAAATCGTCCCCATTTTTACCTTACTGAAAGATCTTTCTGGCTAATCTAACATATTTATAATTAACAAACTCATGAGGGGGAAAAAAAGGCAAACTTCAAGTAATTCATGTGTAAAGGCCCAAATCAGAAAATGAACGTCTTCCTTTCAATATGGATAGTCGTAGTAGATTAAATTATCGCTCAGCAAATACTCACTTCCCCGCCCATGCCCCCCGCCCCTAACACACTCACACTGACCTCCACGGGAAGAATTTACTGTCTTACCCCACCGGTGTTGAGCTTGACAATGGGACTTCCTTTGGCCAATGAAAGACGGGCAGACATGACCCGATGCCTATTTGGAGCCCAGGTTGTAAGGCATTGCACATTCACACTCTCCCCTGAGAGCCTCCATTTCCACCTTGAAAAGATCATGAGCCAGATAATTGTCAGATGACCCTTGCAGAATGAGAGTCAGATGAAACAGAATGGAACTGAACTGCAGCATGAAGGAGTTGTTCCAACTGGCCCACACACCTGCAGAGCCCACCCGCAGGAGAGTCGCCTACCTGAACCCAGCCTCGATCAGCCAAGCTACAGCTGACCTGCAGCCCAGGAAGCATAGGCATAAATGGTGGTTAATTTCAGTCATTGAGATTTGGAGCTGTTTGTTATTCAGCATCATTGTGTTGTTTCAGAAGCTTTTCAGAGAGATCACCAACAATGTATGCCTGATTGTGGGCTAGAAAAAATATTCCAGCTGTGCTAGATCCTGATAGCTCCACTGACATGGTGTAAGGGAAAGCAGATGGAGCAAATACCCAAGCCAATCAATCCTATTTATGCAAGGCACGATGAATAAGAGCGCCACGCTTAACTGCGTTTTTTACCTTTTGGTTCCGTGTTGGGGTCATGGAGTTGTACTTACTATTAATGGAGGTACAACTTCAGTAGGGTTTCCAAAGGTTTCCCTTGGCCCCGACACTCTTTATTGGCTGTTACCTTCTCACACCTTACAGGGGAAAATTAAAAGTACCTACCTGTGTCGACGTCTTCGTCTGGAGTCCCTGTTTCATTTCCCCACAGCTCCATTTCCAATCTTCTCTCTTTCCTCAATCATGGAAAGATAGCAAAAATAAACCATCATACTGAACCATTATGACAATTTACTCTTGAGGGGAGAATCCTGTGGGTGTCTAAAAGCTTACTGTAAGTTATATTTGCTTAATTTATGCTTCTACTGACAAATAATTAGGGCAGCAATTAATTTCAAAATGCAAATGTGCAATGGGTCTCACTGTTTTGTTTTGTTTTGTTTTAAATATTCTTTGTCCTCCGTTCTACTTGTGTTAGAGTCTTAATGGATTTAGTTTAGCAAAGGAATGAAATTATTTTTTCTAATGCTTTATTTACTTGATTGAATCGGACTTTTTATCAAATATTGACTACAAATGTTTGTTCAAGATCATATGCTGTAGAATTTAATAGAAATAAAAACCTGTGGTGCAGACCATCATTTTTTACGTGTCTTGTGTGTAATCTATCTGAATGATGAATCAATGACAGGCAGGAGATGTTTATAGCAATCTGCCTCTCTATAAGGACCAGCTGCTGTTTCCTGGTAAGAGGAAAAATTTCTTATTATCTCTGAAAAGGTCACAAAGATATTCTTTGAGAAGAGAAAACTTTCCACCTGTAAACACGAGAAAAATTAGCTTTTATTCCTTTTACATCCTGCAGTGCTGGGAAGATTGGAAACATAGATAAAGGTCCACTGAATGCTCCTTTCCTCTGCTATTTATTTCATATCTCCTGATGCCTCATGTACACGAAGGCACCTCTCCCTGCTAGATTCACCAGCACCTGCTCTGGCTCACAGCGTGCTGGGAAAGTCAGACAGGAAAAAAACCTCTGTATATTTTGTCATCATACTCCTTAGTGTCATTTTATATTCCTATTTATAATCTTTCTCCTCAACTAGAATGTGAGCCCCATGAGGGCAGGAACTGGGTCTATATCTTCACCATCCGAGCAGGTCCTACCGCAAGGGAGACCCTCCATAAATATCCGGAGGTGTTGAAAGAAGAAAAATGATATTGTAGAACCATGAAGAGGATGAAATGGGAGGCCAAAAGAGAGACGCCTTTCTCACCTTAGAACATGGTGGAAAGTAGATTGCCCAGAAAGGTATTGAGGAAGAGGTGAGGATGGAAGCAGGGGGTCTCCAAGAGCAGATATGCAGGAGGTTGCCCAACGAGCGAAGTTAGGAGCACACAGCAGGTGTAAAGCCATGGAGGAAGAAGTGATCCAGGCAGGTTTGGGAATTCCAGGGTTTTTCCCTGGAGCACGGAATCCCCTGGGGAATGGCAGGAACTGGGGCGAGACAGGTAGGGAGGCCCCAAGCAGACATCATCTTATACCCGGATGAGAAGTCTTCATCTTTCTCTGTAATCAGTGTTGATTGCTGATTGATTGAAACTTCTAGATGCCAAATTACTAATTAGTGTGAGCATAGAGGAAACAGAGTTGTCCACTTTGGGCAGAAAGCTGAGCCCTCTCTGATGCCGAATCTGAATGCTTCTCCACTGATACGTGACTTGGCTTGAGGGTACAGCCGAGACCGAATCAACTAACTCGAAAAGAGTACTTGGTCACGGACCACACGAGGCAGATGTAGCGTGATTTTTCTGCCATTATCTAAATATTTAAAGGGAAACCAGCATTTTGGTCTGAATGACAATGCTCTATGTGCTTTTGGTACACATTCAAGGTAAATTTTAAAACAAGGACCTTTAAGACTGAACATTATTCATGTAAAAAAGGTCTGTTTTAGAACAATATCAAAGTTATTTGCCTCTCTTTTCACCCATGTAAGAAAATATCTCACCTACCATAAACTAATGAAAGACCATCACACAGGCTGGTTTTCTGGATTGCTCTCTTTTGTTTCATGGACTTTTCTGGTTTATTGGGGGGAAACTCCATTAAATGGAACCCGTATATGCAGATACAATCACTTGCCTTCTGCCTGCCGCAGGTTGAGGTCGTCAGTAAGTGGTAGCAGAGGCCACTTCTAATCTAATTGTGAATTCCTGTCAAGTACACAGACTTCAGCCCAGGGATGACAAGGATTTTTGAACTTCAAAAAAAAAAAAAAAAGGGAGGAATCACAATAAATATTTCATTGTCTAGTCAACCCAATTTGCTAAGCCTGATTATCTCGTTCAGCCCCCAGAGATTGCTACAGGAAGCCTCCCCAGATGTTCTCCTTCCAGCCAAAATTACCACTGGATGTCAGGGAGGTGGCCCAGCAACAGCATTCTGGAAGCCCAGCTGTCGAGGAAGAGAGAGAAGAGGGAAGGTCGCACCCACTGTGGGAGAGGCCTGCATGTCACCGGCCACCCTGCCAGGCCACTTAACCGGTTCCTCAACTGGGTTAATTGACCAATGATTGACCAAGCCTTTCTGCCCGGGTTTATACTCTGTGGCAAATTGCCATGGTCAGAGAACACGTGCGTGGAGAGTTCCTGAAGCAGCGGGGAGCTAATTACCCCCACTTCCCTAAGTCAACAGAAATCCCGAAAAGACAATGTGGAGCGAAGAAATATTGGGCAAGAGTCTGACAAGCCCTTCGGGGGTCCTTTCTGGGGGCCCCACTCTCCCACTTCTCTTTCCGAGCAATACAGCCCCGTGGTTTTCTGTAACCATGGGGCCCCGCATGCTCGTGTTATTTCTTGTCAGCATAACTTTCCAAATTCATTTTACTGATGATGATGTTTCAGATACTGGCACCTGTAGTAAGTAGGACTTGAGTTTGTCCTTCTACCTATAGCGCACTTAAACCCCCTCCGTTCCTGGGACGTGATCACGGTGGCTGCACCCACACCTAATCTGTTGCCAGAAAAGAGCTTGGATGTAACAGGGAGTAAGACAGAAACTAAGACCCTTACGAGAGATTATCTTGCCACAAACTAACCCCTCGGAGCCGGACCAGTCAAGCAAAGATTCCTGAAGGAGCTATTCCAGAAGAATTCCTGCTTGTGGCTTGTGGAAGCTACAAAGCCAAGATTTTGAAGGTAAATTTAATACTCTTATAGCTTGGCTGCATAAAATAGGGAGCACAGTAAGCTCGCGACTCCATCTGACAGGCAGGAAACCCAGGTTCACACAGGAAATTAGAATGAGATAAACAACACTTCAGAGAACTCGGCCAATTCCCACTTGCTTGGCAATGTCACAAAAGACAGGAATTTGGGGTGCCCTGCTTATTTCACTTTTCCAGCCCAGTTTTCAAGGGATGAAGAGTTTCTAGAGCTGAAGGTAATGATAAATCACGTATTCCATACTGACTGAGGCTTCATGGTACCATTGATGTCTACCAATGATCAAGTTTTACTGAAAAACAAATTAAAACATGAATGAAATAGAAATCATTTTGTAAGATACTGGGTTTCTCATAGGAAATTCTATGTGGGACCCATAACTGAATTATTCAGACCAGAATTTTATAACACTGGTACAAAGACTGAACTATTTTACCCACAAAACAACAGTTTTAAGCAGACATTTATTTCTTTGACATTAACGAGGGGGAAAAGCCTTCTGATTCTCAAAAACAAAAACTCTCAAAAAGATGAAATAAGATACAATTGCCAATGACCTAATTTAAAAATGTCTAAACTGCAGTTTTGAAATTTTTTTAGCTGGCTTTCATGGGCCTCAAATAGAAAGCTTTATGTAAACTGTCCCTTTTAGACATGCATTGTCATTAACATCACTGTGATATATAACTAATAACAGGTAAGTGTAACTATAGCAGTATTTAGAAAATAATTATGATAAGACAGCATTTTGTGATCGAGTTTGTGCTACTCCCCTTTACCATCATTTCTACCTACTTACAACGTCTCAAAAAAAAAAAAAAAACCAGAGCTTGGGGATCACAAATATCAGAGAGGACAAGACAGTTCTCATGCTTTATGCTCTTACATTATGTTCCATGTTGTTTTTCCTTCATTATGACCTAATTCTTTAGGCGTGTCTCTCCAAATGGAATTGATTACATCTGTAAATAAAGCATTGATAAATTAACCTTAAGTTTTAAAGTATGATTTGACTTTAAAAATAAAATTCCTATCTTACCAAATGTCTGCTAGGCCCTGTTATCATCCTATTTTGTCTCATTGTTTGATTTTTTCTTTTGCCCCAGTAACCAGAGATATGCTTAATACCTGCATCTAAGTTGCAGAGATTCAGAAAATACCCAAAATGAGAAGGTAGTATGGGCATCCAGGGGGAATGTCAAGTTCCAGTTCCTATTATTTTAACATTGTCTCCGTGGTGAGTCACCATACTGAGCAGTTTCACAGAAAAGGAAAAGATTCCAGAACGAGGTTTTGGGGGATGTTTTGGGGGTTACTTAAGGATTTGAGAAGAGATTAAAAGTAGGGAAGAATCCAAAGAAAAATCAGAAAGAAGTTTTGTAAATTGAGGGCCAGGTGAACATATAAGAACAGAGTCATGTTCTCTTAAACAAAACTCAGAATAATGCGTGCTAGAGGGATCAAATATGTTTTAAAAATTACTATATCACAACATATAACATACTGACAAAAATCTTTACCCACAGTTTTACTGAAGACTCAGTATTATCAGAGTGCTTAAGATTGGGAAGAGATATTTAACAGGATCCAGGAACTTCATAAAGAACAGCATAAATACTACCACACTAACAAAATAAAAGACAAAAATTAATGATTTTCTCCATTGATGCAGAGAAAGCCTTTGAAAAAAAAAATCAACATACTTTCATGATTAAAAAAATTAAATAAATTAGCAAAGAAGGAAACTACCTCAACATAATAAAGGCCATAATGAAAAGCTCACAGCTCAATGGTTAAAAACTGAAAGCATTTCATCTAAGATCAGGAACAAGAGAAGGATACCCTGTCTGTCTGCTTCTATTCAACATAGTACTGGAAGTGCTAGCCAGAGCTATCAGGCAAGAAAAAAAATTAAAAACATATAAATTAGAAAGGAAAAAGTAAAACTATCTCTGTTCACAGATGACATGATCTTATATGTAGAAAACCTTAAAGACTACACACACACACACACACACACAAAACGCTGTTAGAACCAATAAGCAAATTCAGCAAAGTGGTGGGATACAAAATCAATATACAAAAATCAGTTGTGTTTCTATACACTAACAATGAACAACCCAAAGAGTAAATTAAAGAAGACAATTCCGTTTATAATAGCATCAAAAAGAATAAAATACTTAGGAATAAGCCCAACCAAGGAGGTGAAAGACTTATACACTGAAAACTACAAAACATTTTTAAAAGAAATGAAAGACACAAATAAATGGAAAGACATCCCATGTCCATGAATTGTAAAATAATATTGATAAGAGGTCAATACTAACCAAAACAATCTACCAATTCAACCCAATTCCTACCAAATTCCAAATGCATTACTTAAAGAAATTTTTAGAAATCCTAAAATCCAGATAGAAATTCAATGGATCTAAAATAGTTAAAACCATTTTGGAAAAAAAGAACAAAGTTGGTGAATTC